TCTCCTCTCCTCTCCTCTCCTCTCCTCTCCTCTCCTCTCCTCTCCTCTCTCCTCTCCTCTCCTCTCCCAGAAATCTAGTCCTTTTTATCTAGTTGTCAAAAACATTTTGTTGCCACACCCTAACATTTTAACTTTAATCTACATTGATAAATGGAGCAGGTTTCCTAATTAGGTTGACTTTTTCTTTAAAATATTTGTAGTCATACAAGGGTGAATCTTTTTCCTAAAAATACTGTCACAAAATAGCTGAGAGGAAGGCAGCCTTATCCTGGCTGCTCCACATTAGTTCAGGCAAAATATCTGGCATAAGAAACAAAACTGGTCTTCCTGTGAGTATAATCTGAGTATTGTATTTAGAATTTAAATCGAAAAAGGCAAACAAACAAAACCACATACAAAAACCTAAAGAAAACAAAATCCCCAAACTAAAATAATAATAATAAATTGGAATACTACTCTGTTGTCGCAGACATCTCTAATAATACTAACTGGCTTTTAAGAAAGAAGAATTAGCCTCTTGGTGCCAGTAGCAGTACCTAGTCTGCATGGTGTGCTCAGTGCTTAATTGTGCCCCTTTATTTGGGCTTTTTTGTTGTTTTTTTTTTTTTAATTCTAGTTTATAAAATATATATAAACTAAATAAATGCAAAACAAACAGACAGAAAAAAAGTACCAAAAAAATGAAAAAAACCAAACAGGGAAAAAAACCCTTACAATGACAATTTATATCAATATATATTTTGATATAAATACAATTAATATAAAAGGGGCAAAAAAAAATCACAGCTAGAGAAATAAAATTATTTGTACCTTAGAGACAGTTAAAGACAAAGAAATGGTAAGAGAGATACAATTGTAACTCACAGTAATATTTATCCCTCTTAGGGTATTAGGGAATATTTATATTGAGTTTTCCACTTCTGTGCTGCATCTTCATACTAGAAGAAATTAGAACAAACATTTTAGAAAGATGTCATATATACCTTCCATGATTCAGCTATCACAGGTTAATGTGGTAATTTCTGACCATGAACAGGAAAATTTTTCATCTGTTGGAGGAAAAAAAAAAAGAAAAATGTAGTCAGCCATATCAAAACTCTCAGGACTGTGTAAAAAGCAATTTTTGCAGCTTCCGCGTTCAAAAGTTCATATCAGAGGTGTGGTTGCATGTGATTTATTTTGCATATGAAAGAAATAGTCTCATGACTTTCCATATTAATAATCCACTTTCATTATAATATTAAATACACTGGGAAGGATGATACATCACCCAGGATAATATAAGTTGACATATACAAAGGAAGCGTAAGAAATCTTAGCTCCTTATATTGCTATTTTGCTTCTGGGTATCTCTGAAATGCTGAATGCATTTTTCATTTGATCTTAGCTTAATGCAGGCATCAGCTGTTTGCAGAGGGAAAAGCAGAATTTAAAAAAAATCCAGCCATCATTCAGCCAAACATTTAACTCAAAGAGTTTTCCAGTAATTGGTGAACTATTGAGATTCCTCTGACACCTACACAAACTATTGCGCAGAAAATGGGTGAATTGAGTTATACAGTTAACAGGTGTCTCCATAGAAGCCCATTTAATTTATTACTAACCTGCTTTCTTTTCCATAACCAAGTCAAGGGCATGGTATTTGGATTTTTACTCCCTGTTTTCCTTGGTAGCAGGAGTGGTCCTTTCCAGTCTGCAGAGGCAGACGAGGCAGCAGGCAATCTGCAACAGCTGATTCAGCTTCTTCTCCCTGAATAAGGAACTAATCCAATTGATACACGGTGAAGTAAACACATAGTGACATATTTGTAGACAAACTGTCATACTTTCAATTATTCCCTCCAAAAAATTATTTCAGAACTGCAGGCATGGAGTTTTAAAAGTCTGCCAGCCTCAGCAGCTAGTACATTTCTATGAGACCCGATCATTAGGGGAAAAAGTTAATTTCAGAACCATGTAGTACATTTCCTTTCATCTCCTAGTAAATCTTCATTGTACATTGCACTGAAAAATAGTGCAAATGTCCTTTTCACACTACGCATATGTATACATTTTTACATATTTACATTTTTACTTGTGTTCTAAAAATTTTAAGTTTCTGTTTTCTTTCTGTTTTTTGTTACATGCTTGATTTATTATTTAGATAGCAAGCTGACTTTTTCCTCTCTTAAAATGTCTTTTCTTACCCCAAACCATATGCAGAACATATTTGAAAATATTTATCTTGGTTTGGCATGTACTAAATAGGTTAAATTTTCAAAATAAAAATTGGTTTAATTTTTTTGTGCTGAACACTGGGCTCATGCAGTGCAATGAAATTGGGACTCTACCTGCCTTGCAAGGAGCCTCTAAATTACAGTGTTATTATTGTAGAGGCTGGGTATAGACCCTATTGAGCCTTTTGCAACAAAGGAAAAATAAACTATTTAAACAGGGTGATGTACTTATCTGTCAAATTGTACTGAATATCCTTCCAGTGTGAATACCTCCTTTCTGAACAGAAGAAGAGTGTTATCATGCTCTGCCATTACATACTTGTAAGGGATAAAGAAGGAAGTGTTTTCTAGAGCATTTACTGAGGAGTCCATCAGACTGTAAATCCTTCAACTACAGTGCTTTTAGAAACAGGGCCATGTAAACAGTTGATGTGCCCAGGTTATTAACACAGCTGCAGAATTTGGAGTAAAGACGAATTTCCCTGAGCACTAGAAAAATAAAACATCAAGAGGTGTTCATGGCATGGTGAATTCTTCTTAGGGAAGGCCCTAGGGTGTCCTTTGTTTTCGTGGGTTTAGGGGAGAGCCTTTGTGGAGGGTTTTGGAGCTTGTGATTTATGAGGCAGATCATCAAATATATTTAGTTACTTCAATAATTCATGCCTAACCTTCAGTTAATTCTAGATTAGTTGATAAGATTTATATATGTGAGGAAAGAATTTTTAGAAGCTATCTAAGTAAGGCACTATTTGAGCTAATTATCACCGATGTGAAGAGCAAAGGCTGGGAACTACCTGTAAAAGGAGGCAGAGATGAGTAAGCATCTCTCAAATTTCATTTAGCTTCTTTCCTTTGGCTTTTTGAACTATGGATCATAATCTGGAATTAAGCTCCTATTCAAATTTTCCTGTTAAGAAAAGATATTTTTTTTACTCCCTTTCCTTTGAGAAAAGACAAAAGTACAAAATTAACAAAAATCAGAAGAGAGAGAGAGAGAGAATTCTTAGTAGCTTGGCAGGTTACCCACCAGTGCTGTAGGAAACTTAAATCCATCAGGTGGATGCTGAGAACTTCAAGAGCATCTCTATTAGAAGACTTCCTGAGTAAGCTAAAGGATAAATTTATTGATCCTGAATATTTTATAGTTTTCTGTCTTTAGCATGATCTGTTTGCTACTCTGGTACAAATCTCTTTCTAATCTCCTTTTGAGCTACTATATAATATACAAAAAATGTTTTACTTATTGGGAGAAAAGAGACACATATGCTGCATTGTCTGTTGACCACTCCCTTAATATATATGTCCAGGTCTGTACTGCTGTTTAATCTGTCAGATTGTTTGTTATTTTGTAGGGGCTTTTCTTCTCAGCATGCTCTGAGCTAAAGGATCATATGCTTATAATAAGAAAGCTGTTCTCCTGACGGAGTCTGAAACTTTCAGAAATTTTAACTTGAACAAGAATTTCAAGTAACTAATTAGCTCCTGTCAGGATTCAGCTCCAGCACCTTGTGTGTGCAGGGTCTAACAGTCTATGCAGCAGAGAATTGGTTTTAAAAATGCCACTAGTGGCTAAATAGAAACTGAAAGGGATGATAAAGATTGATGCCTATTCCAGAATAAATATGGAGATGCATAGTGGAAAGGCTGAAGTAATTTTTTTGGGGAAAAAAAAATTACATAGAATTTAAATGAAAGGTGACTATATCTAGGTATGAACACTTAATACTAGAAGTTCCCAGTTCAATGAAGCTGTTGAATATCCACAGTGAACCCATGCGGCAACAATCCTCTTGTGCTCTATCAGAATTCTTAATGTTTTCAGTTACCTGAAAAATTTACTCTTTGAAAAAAGTATTAGAAGATTGAAGCAAACGACATCCGTGCTTCTAATTACTGAAAACAATCTTGTGTTTCAAAAAATTTTATTATTGTTCTTTGAAGGTGTGCTAATGTTTACTGTTCCAATGAAGAACAGTTTTACTTAGCTAAGCAGTGTACTGACAGTGAGTCTTTGACATAACTTTTTTCATCTTGTCATCTTTTTTTATCATCCTTTTTTAATTAGCTCAGTCATCAGGAATACTAGCATTTTCCTCATAATTAATTTTTAAAACTATATCTGTATCTCATTTGTTTTACTTGTTCCTTGAGTCTTTGCTGCATTTGTAAGAGACAGTACTTCAAAGCATGATGTAAAAGATCTTGGAGCCTCTAATTTTTGCTTTAGATTAGCTTTATAAAAAACTTACAAAGAACAGATATCTCGCATATATACTGAAATAAGTCTTTATCACTCTAGAACAAAAAATGGCAGCTGTGTTTTGCAGTCAGCAGGCTTGTAGCAATGCATAGGCTCAAAAAATATGTTACAATAGAAAAAACACAAGGCTTATGTGAAGAATACTATGCACATACAGTAATTGACCCCATGAAACACTTCCAGGTATCTACCCTGGCTTTGCCTTTGCCTTTGCCTTGCCCTGCATATGGTTATTTACATCTATAGAAAATATATTGCTACAGCAATTTTTTTCCCCACTCTGCTTTTGCATTATAGAAGAACAAGTAACTGCATAAGCTGTAAAGAATGAAGGAATCAAGTTACAGATGTGCATGCCTACGTGTGCACACACACAGGGGAACTGCCAAGACCCCATCCGGATGCCACACAAGCACCATGAAAGGAACATGATGACAGCTCGGTATCACACTCAGCCTCCCCCTGCAGGGGTCATAGGAAATAAATTCTTTATCCAGTTGAGAGTGGATTTGGGAGAGCATTAAACAGAGACAGAACATGGCTAAGACTCAGCTGTTAACACCTCTCACAAAAAGGGACATGCACCAGAACCTTAAAGGCAGAAGATGAGCTTAATGTCTCATCATAGTGGTGCCTTTACTAGAAATGTGTTCCCACAGTTATAATCACCTGCAGCCTGGGAATCCTTCTAAGGATGAGATTGACAGCTGAAGTGCTGTAGCTGCAGATTTCTTCTCTAAATATCATTGTCTCTGTTTTGCTGATAGGGAGCATGAAGGGCTCTTTGAAGGTCATGGAGAGGCTTGGAAAGAGAAGGAATAGCAAGAGCTACTGTGGCTCTCAGCCTAGTCCCAGATACTTTCAGACATATATTCATTGTGAGGCATATCATTCTTATATTCATAATTATACAAAGGAACTTCAAAGACTTCTGAGAATGGTGAATTCAACTATTGACTCAACAAATACTTATTTTCTATAAAATTCTGGGAGATAATTTATGAGACGTTTTATTAGTTAGATGAAAAAAAACTTCCAAGTAAACCTTGGTATCTGTACCCAAGCACCAAATCCACCCAGCATTAGAATGTAAAATGTAATCTTGAAATGTGAGAAAAAGGAAAAAGTAAAAAAAAAAACCCACCAAATATAATAGCTATAATAGCAAATATGGAACATAAAGAAAAAATACTAGGAGCAAAAGACAGAAAAATGAGGCAGAAGGAGAACACTGTGTATGAAAACAGATTATCAAATTCACAGAATTTATCTATTGAAAGTACAAAGGAAGACATTATTAAACTAAAGAATATGTTTCTACTATTTGAATAATGAAATTTCTAAAAGTTTTGTGAAAGAGATCTTTTGAGGCTCTTTCATCTATTCCAACAACTTTTTGCAAAACATTTCTTGCTGACTGCAAAATGAAAGAATGTGAAGGTTGATATTTAATAGCCTGGAGCAGCTACAATCCACAGAGCCACAAAGGTATAAGGCTGACACTGTACAGAATACATTTCGGATGAACATTCTTGATATGTTCCAGGAAAACAACTGAATACTTATCCAGTCCATCAATTATTTTTGTCAGACAACAAGAGTGTAATGCTACAGTCCTTGATCAAAAATTGAGTCAATTGATTAAATTTCCAAGTCAATATTGCCTTTTAGTATCCATCACTAGCTATGAGTAACATAACATTCCAATAAAAGCTGTCTGAAAACTTTTCCTTAATACAAGCTTGTTTTCCTTGCTTGTGACATCCAGGAATCAGAGCAGAAGATACTTCTGCATACTGGCCTGGAGTGTGAAGTCCCCATGAAGTACTTGGTGAGAACATGATTGATAACTGAAAGAAGCCTATAAATTCTGTGTTATTGAACTTTGAGGAAGTTTACAATTTAAATCACTGAAACGTTTTTTGCAATGTAACTATCTCTTCCTTGTTCCTCAACTTTTCCTGAAGTACTCTAAACAAGTTTTATATCTGCCCTATTTAATATTTTTATTCTTTTATGCACTGTCTTTTCCATAGTTAGGAAATTATCATAAGAGGAGAAGATACCTAAATTATGTGAAGTCAGAAAACCAGCAGTGATTAGCAAGTAGTTTCCATGAATATCTGGAAAGCAACTGTGTCAGCCTATGCCAGCATTTAAATTTGCACAAATGTACATACTCAAACACCACTCTCATGTACTTAACATATCAAATAAACATTTATAGAAGATAGCAAAAAGGAAATAACTACTACAAAAACACTGTTAGTATAGAGTCATTCCTAC